GTCTGTTCTTATAAGAGCAATAGTTTTTCAGTAGGTTGAAATTCAATAGCTTGAGGCAGTCTGTATTTGCCTCATTGAACGATGGCATTCCTTTATGCAGTCTATTGTGCATGTGGCCTTGTTTTCTCAACTCAGAGCGCAGTTGCAGTGCACTCTTTATTTAACAGAGCGAGCGCGAGACTGCCTCAGTCAGGTTTATAAATGTGAATTCACTGGAGTTGAGGTAAGATGAGTAAGAGGATGAATCTTTTTGTGTCCTCCAATAAAAAATAAAAAGGATGAAAATCTGGGCTGACGCTTTAACTGCAGCTGTTCTTGGACGTGGAGGCAGCATGTGACAATGCTAAATGAGAGATTGTGTCAGCACATTGGTTATACATAAAAAAATGTGTGGATTAGAATACCTTTATGTTCCTAAATTTAATATTAGCCTTAAATATATCTGCCTTTCCATCCTCCATCCTCGTCTTTCTTTCTCCACGTGTATGCTAATAAAGCACTTTGTTCTGACAGTTTTTGCTTTTCAAATCAAGTTGTGCAGACATGCTTAAGTCCTGATTGGTCTGGTACAAGCACACTGCCTGATGCCTGCAGGACATTTCGGTTCAAGCTGCTAATTCCTAGAGCTCCCTGGGCTGGCATTTAAAACCACAGCTTTGTGTGCCATACCCCTAGTCTTCAATCGCCCTTGGGAACAGAGAGAATTTTTAATGACAGGCCTCTCTCTGTCGCTGCCTCGTGCTAAAAAGCATTGAGCAAATGAGGCCCAAAACAGCTGAGTGTGGTGATTGTTGCAGCGGCAGCGCTGAAGCGGAGCACCAAACAGACCACTTCACGTACCTGTATGCATCTGTGATTCATGCCAGATCACACAATACTTAATTCTCCTCACAAATGGTGGGCTGATTTTGTCTCTCTCAAAACACCTGCAGGTAAAATGAAAACCCACTCTCTGTGACATCAACCAATAACTGAATAAGAATAGTTTTTTGTATGTCTTGATTAATGAGGGTAATGAAAGCTTCCTCACTGTGCTTTCGAGGTTTGCCAAGATCAGGAGAATAAATTATAAGCCTCCTCAGCTGATACGAAGATGCATTTCCATGTCCATACGAGATACATTTATATGCTAAACAGTGAAAGCAGCAAACCTCACCTGTATGCATCTGTGATTCATGCCAGATCACACAATACTTAATTCTCCTCACAAATGGTGGGCTGATTTTGTCTCTCTCAAAACACCTGCAGGTAAAATGAAAACCCACTCTCTGTGACATCAACCGATAACTGAATAAGAATAGTTTTTTGTATGTCTTGATTAATGAGGGTAATGAAAGCTTCCTCACTGTGCTTTCGAGGTTTGCCAAGATCAGGAGAATAAATTATAAGCCTCCTCAGCTGATACGAAGATGCATTTCCATGTCCATACGAGATACATTTATATGCTAAACAGTGAAAGCAGCAAACCTAAGTATTTAAAGTTGATCATTTTAGACATCATTTAAATAAATGATTATATATAAATTATATACACATTTTATACTTAATCATTTTATGTTAAACAAAGGAATATTTTAATTAAACTTAAATTAACTTTACTTAAATTCATATTACATGTAGAGATATATACATGCACGTATATATCTGTAAAATTTAGTTTTAAAAAAATCTCACGTTAATGTGGGAAAATCATATTTGAAAATGCTATTTGGTGAGAACTATTTATAATCTTATTTTTACAGACGAATAGAGCCAAGGTCAAATCTAATGAAAAAACTCTATTCACTCACATCATAAAGTCTTGCACTGATCTGCATCAAAAACCAAGACCAGCAGCTTCACAAAACTAAAAAAATATATGCATGAAATCTTTAATAACACAAAAAGTTAAAATGCATAAAAATGTATAGTTGCTTTTCATTAAAAAAAGTATTCATACTTCTTAAGGAGATGAGATTAGATCCTTACCTCTTTTAAACCAGTTGCAGTTCTAGTTTTCCAATAGCTTCCTGTGGCATGTCATCTTTGTAATAGACGAGTAATCCAGGCGTGAGAATAAAGCTGGAGCTTTAAGTGGGAGATGAACATGTGCAGATGTGCACTCACTGAGGGTGAATGAAAGAGTGGCACAGATAGAGGAGAGAGACGGAGAGAACAAGTGCCTGTGCTCTCATGTCTGGAAACAAGCTACCAACCTCAACACAGACCAAGTCCCTGTGTATCAGGAGGACAGTCAAGCTTAAAAGAGCAAGGTGACGCCAGTCCCTACACATCCAGCGTCAGGAAGCGATTGCTCTATTATTCTCACATTGCGAAAGAGGGTTATTGAACTCATATGCTGAGGTTGTGCGCAGATTCTCATTTGTTTCTAACTCTGATGTCAACACGCTCACATGATCGTGACTCCTATGGTGCAGTTACATCATGATGACACAACTGTCTCGCCTTTGAGGCAGCAGTTCAGCTCCTGAGGGATGTGCAGGGTGTGTATTATTGATCCATTTGAGTGATGCAGTCACTATAAATAAGCCTGTAATGATGGCACTAAAGAAAATGACAATAATAAGACTCCTAATGGAATAATAATGGACAAAAAGTTGCTAACTTGAAAAAAAAACTGAAAATCAGCAAGTCCACTGGTCTCCTTTACCTTTTGATTTGAAAAATCAACTCACTTGCATAAAATAATTAAAATGCAAAAACTTCTCAACTCTCTAGGTACTGTTTGTACCTTGAAAATAAATCCAAGTGCTACTTAAGGTGCATGTGCAAGGTAATTGGAATTCCAGTCAGGTTTATTTTAGCCTGGTCGTAAACATTCGTAGTACATTAGGCTGACATACCCGAAACCAATCAGCCTAAAAAGGTTTTGCCTGATTGCGGCATTTGGCTTTTTAAAATAGGGGTCATGAAGGAGTTTGTGTGGGTGAGAGAGAAAGTGCTAGTATTGCGACCCTTCTCTAAACTATATGACCTTTGTCAATCAGCCAGTCTGAAGACCAAACACATATGCATATTCATGAGAGCAGTCAGATCTTCAGGCTGGCTTAAGAGCAGACACTTCAGTTGCTATTGGATATGGAGATGAGCAGGTTGTCTTTTGCAGTTGGCAAGATGAAGAATAATTAACTGGATAGCAGATGTGGAAAAGAAAATTTATTATCAAAATGAAGTACCGGTATATTGTTTTCTGAATATTTGAAATGATAATCCAGGAACTAAACCTGATACTAATCAAATAAGATTCTGGTAGTGACAGTGGGAAAACAACTGTTTTTGCATATTTAAAAAAAAAAAATCATTGAGAAAAGGCCGCAAATAAGCAGAGACCTAGTGGTCAGCACTCTTTGCAACATGTTGTTGTTGTGCTCATGGAAGATTGGATCCGATCAATTTCACCCTTTTACCCACCCTCTTGTCTTCTCATGATTTTCTGCCTACTTTCCACTTTGTATATAAAGTTGCAAATGCCACACATAAAATTTTATAATAAAAACATTTTAACTGTCCTAGAATCACTTTTCATTTTTATTACTAAGGAAAGTGTGTCTTGATTAATGAGGGTAATGAAAGCTTCCTCACTGTGCTTTCGAGGTTTGCCAAGATCAGGAGAATAAATTATAAGCCTCCTCAGCTGATACGAAGATGCATTTCCATGTCCATACGAGATACATTTATATGCTAAACAGTGAAAGCAGCAAACCTAAGTATTTAAAGTTGATCATTTTAGACATCATTTAAATAAATGATTATATATAAATTATATACACATATTTTATACTTAATCATTTTATGTTAAACAAAGGAATATTTTAATTAAACTTAAATTAACTTTACTTAAATTCATATTACATGTAGAGATATATACATGCACGTATATATCTGTAAAATTTAGTTTAAAAAAAATCTCACGTTAATGTGGGAAAATCATATTTGAAAATGCTATTTGGTGAGAACTATTTATAATCTTATTTTTACAGACGAATAGAGCCAAGGTCAAATCTAATGAAAAAACTCTATTCACTCACATCATAAAGTCTTGCACTGATCTGCATCAAAAACCAAGACCAGCAGCTTCACAAAACTAAAAAAATATATGCATGAAATCTTTAATAACACAAAAAGTTAAAATGCATAAAAATGTATAGTTGCTTTTCATTAAAAAAAGTATTCATACTTCTTAAGGAGATGAGATTAGATCCTTACCTCTTTTAAACCAGTTGCAGTTCTAGTTTTCCAATAGCTTCCTGTGGCATGTCATCTTTGTAATAGACGAGTAATCCAGGCGTGAGAATAAAGCTGGAGCTTTAAGTGGGAGATGAACATGTGCAGATGTGCACTCACTGAGGGTGAATGAAAGAGTGGCACAGATAGAGGAGAGAGACGGAGAGAACAAGTGCCTGTGCTCTCATGTCTGGAAACAAGCTACCAACCTCAACACAGACCAAGTCCCTGTGTATCAGGAGGACAGTCAAGCTTAAAAGAGCAAGGTGACGCCAGTCCCTACACATCCAGCGTCAGGAAGCGATTGCTCTATTATTCTCACATTGCGAAAGAGGGTTATTGAACTCATATGCTGAGGTTGTGCGCAGATTCTCATTTGTTTCTAACTCTGATGTCAACACGCTCACATGATCGTGACTCCTATGGTGCAGTTACATCATGATGACACAACTGTCTCGCCTTTGAGGCAGCAGTTCAGCTCCTGAGGGATGTGCAGGGTGTGTATTATTGATCCATTTGAGTGATGCAGTCACTATAAATAAGCCTGTAATGATGGCACTAAAGAAAATGACAATAATAAGACTCCTAATGGAATAATAATGGACAAAAAGTTGCTAACTTGAAAAAAAAAACTGAAAATCAGCAAGTCCACTGGTCTCCTTTACCTTTTGATTTGAAAAATCAACTCACTTGCATAAAATAATTAAAATGCAAAAACTTCTCAACTCTCTAGGTACTGTTTGTACCTTGAAAATAAATCCAAGTGCTACTTAAGGTGCATGTGCAAGGTAATTGGAATTCCAGTCAGGTTTATTTTAGCCTGGTCGTAAACATTCGTAGTACATTAGGCTGACATACCCGAAACCAATCAGCCTAAAAAGGTTTTGCCTGATTGCGGCATTTGGCTTTTTAAAATAGGGGTCATGAAGGAGTTTGTGTGGGTGAGAGAGAAAGTGCTAGTATTGCGACCCTTCTCTAAACTATATGACCTTTGTCAATCAGCCAGTCTGAAGACCAAACACATATGCATATTCATGAGAGCAGTCAGATCTTCAGGCTGGCTTAAGAGCAGACACTTCAGTTGCTATTGGATATGGAGATGAGCAGGTTGTCTTTTGCAGTTGGCAAGATGAAGAATAATTAACTGGATAGCAGATGTGGAAAAGAAAATTTATTATCAAAATGAAGTACCGGTATATTGTTTTCTGAATATTTGAAATGATAATCCAGGAACTAAACCTGATACTAATCAAATAAGATTCTGGTAGTGACAGTGGGAAAACAACTGTTTTTGCATATTTAAAAAAAAAAAATCATTGAGAAAAGGCCGCAAATAAGCAGAGACCTAGTGGTCAGCACTCTTTGCAACATGTTGTTGTTGTGCTCATGGAAGATTGGATCCGATCAATTTCACCCTTTTACCCACCCTCTTGTCTTCTCATGATTTTCTGCCTACTTTCCACTTTGTATATAAAGTTGCAAATGCCACACATAAAATTTTATAATAAAAACATTTTAACTGTCCTAGAATCACTTTTCATTTTTATTACTAAGGAAAGTGGACAGGAAATGTGGCAAACAAATGATAGGGAGAAAAAGGGGTGATGGGGGTCAGGCAATTGAGCCACACAACATGTCAGAGCACTCGCACTACCCGGCCAGGCCACTTCTCCGACCTTAGCATCATGCTTAAAGGATCTTTGTTAGTGGTCGGTGCTCTCATATACTTCAAATACATACTGAACACCATTCTCCTCCTGCACGCCCGTGGGTACACCCGGGAATCTGACCAGAAAGAAACAAGAGAGAGAAATAGAAGGAACAATAAGACATTACCCACACATTTCTATGGACTGATAAGAACTAAGAACTAGTTCTAAGAACACAAGAAAATATCACCTGCAGTACAAAACATAATACAGACACATACACAATTACATGCTTGTACTTTCATAAACTTCCATCCACTTTAGACTGGTATAGATTCTTGTTCACTGTGCCAATTAACTGTTGAAACCAATCAAATGAATTTGAGAACACAAATAATTTTGCTCTTTGTCAGATGAAGTGGCAGTGATAATCCTGTGTCAACATTCTGTGTGCATTTAACTTCTCTTTAAATGCTTATTGTGTGCCTGAGAGATGTGACATTTGGTGCGGCCCACCTTTGATGCTAGATGCTATTTTTACATAACAAGAGAGCTTTTTCTCCTCATTAATGTAACTCTTCACTATTCTCTCTGGATACACAATACAGCACATGTCTGTTCCAGTGCCAGTAAATCCATTAATCCCACTTTATTCAAGGACACGACCAGACAAATATTCCTAAACATACATACAAAAAATGGGTTTCAAAACACCGAAGAGTTTTAACCTTGGCAAATGGCCTTTTGAAGTTTAACACTAAACTGAAGTATTAATATCACTCCTACAAAACATGTTATGAAACATTTTTTGCAAGCAATATGCAAATGTATTTATTCTGTAGGGCTCTTAAAAGCTTGAAATGAATGCAATACCATTTAATAGTTTGGGGATGGTACCTTTTTTTTTTCTTAGGTTTTTGAAAGAGGTATCTTATGCTCACTAAGGCTGCATTTATTTGATCCAAAATGCAGTAATATTATGAAATAATATAACAATTTAAAACATCAGTTTTCTATTTTAAAATAGAATTTATTCCTCTAATGGCACAGCTGAATTTCCAGCAGCCATTACTCCAGTCTTCAGTGTCACATGATTCTTCAGAAATCATTCTAATATACTGTTAGAGAAATTCACATTTCTCTGAATTTCTCAACAGATATGACAGGCTTGCATGATTTTACCAACCTTGTACACAGCGCTTCCGCCGATTATCCAAACCTGGTCCACTTGTTTTTCGAGCTCACTGCTGTCTAACAGATGGAGAGCTGAACTGAAGTCTGAAGCAAGGTAGTGAGCTCCCTCTGGGGCTGTACTGTGTAGTGAGTGATAGAAACAGGCACTTTACTTTTATACAGGATAGTGATTTAATACAAGATGAAAAAATTGTAAACATTAAAAGAGGATTACTTGAGCTCTCTGCTGAGAACAATGTTGATCCTGTTCTTCAGGGGCCTGTTTGCTGCAGGAATAGAGAACCAAGTCTTTCTGCCCATCAGGACCACATTCTTTTTACCTGTCAAATGACACACCGCATATATGATTTGGTTTAAGATTTTAATCAATTCTGAACAAACAAATAAAATATGACAACAATGTAAGCATACCGTTACCCTCAACTAAAGGAGTCATGGTCATCTTCTGAAAGTGCTTGAATTCATTACTAAAAAGATATGAAAAATAAGAATCAAAGCGAATGGTTGGGATGCATATAGTTTAGGAATATGTCAGGGGTTTTCTATAGTAACTCAGTGTGTGTGGGCTTTGCTCTCATGGGGCAAATGTGCTGAATGTCGTTATTTACCAATGGACTCTAGGATAAAGGTCAAGCTTTTAACTAAAGATCTGTGCAATCATAACATGTTCGATCTTAGGTTAACTTAACGTTACAACTCATTCTACCATTCTTTCCTCATATGTTTAGTACGATGCTTTTACTTTATTCATTTGTCAATAAATCATTGAATTTGCACAACTGCGAACGTTACAACTTACAGCTGTTGCGAAACACAAAACTCATGACACGGGGCACTAGAGATCTACAAACACCTCTTGTATTATTGAATCAATAATCAGAACATTAGCTGGAGATTTAGCAACAAACACGAGCTCACCTTAGTCTTATTGGATGCCATGGCAGATTTCCATTTTTCCCTATTCCCATGTCTGGACAAACAGCTACAATAGAGTTGAGTATTCGAGACATAACTGTCATGAATGTAATAAACAAAGTACAGTTTAGCTAGCACGCACGGTCTTCCTCCCGCCAGAAGTACGTCAAACGCTTGGCTCATGAATATGAATTACGTTGTGGGACGCCGACGAACTGATTTGCTCGAGGAATAAGTTCGCGCTAGTAAACTGGCCAATCAGCGTAATATTATTGTGAAGGCTTCGCGCCACAGGAGCGATGAAGAAAGAGTGCAGTACACAATCAGAAAGCAGCTTTTAGATAAAATGTCAATGTATAGAAAGTATCAAATCAGGAGTGGATAGACAAATATATAAATAAACACCACAATTGTAGAAAGTACAAGATTTTATTGATACACGTGTTATTATTATTGTTTACTAAATATTTTATTACACCAACACTTTTACCAGCAACATTAAAACCGCAGATGGTTTAAAGGTTGTGATCAAATAAAAATTAAAAAGTGATAAAAAATTAAAAATACATTTACTTGCTCTTATTCTGGGACTTTTGCATAGAAACATCAGTTATTCTAATATAACAAAGTGCGTGACACTTTTATCTTTGTAAAAACAACTTAAAGTTTGTAATGAACAGCTGGGTCATCTTTTAAAAAGTGCCTTTCTAAAACAAAACTTTATGGGTTCAAAAATACAGACTGTTTGTGGTAAACATAATTTTAAATCTCACAGGCCATGTGTATATATGGATAGAAAATGACAAAGGACAATTTATAAATCGGATTATAAGCAGTACATTGTAATTTTGGTTAACTTTATTAGTTTTATCTTTGTATCAGCAACAAATATATTTTCCAATTTCATAAATATATAATTACATTAATCTTTTTTTGTAATTCTAGGCACCTGTGAAAGATAAAAATATAAATCAACAAAATCACATAGTGACATACAACTAATTTTCATTCTTAGCAAGGCCTTGTCTCTCCCAGCTCATGTCCATGTTATTTGCAGCGTATGGCGCCTCCTTTTGGCTTTGCATTGTAACTTTGTGATATTGCTCAAAGTCAATGCCCAGCAGCCACTCAAATCCAAATGAGAGAGGCGCCTACAAGTGTTTACAATATGTATTACAGTCTCCATAGAGATATCTGAGCGGTTCAGGCTAGCAGATCTGAGGCAGTGCAGTGGGGGACTATCTAGGGCTCCGAGGGGTTTGGCCCAATGATTCAGGACAAGTTTGAACACAGGGTCCAGTCGACAGGGAACAGCGATTAGTGAGAGCTTCTGAAGGAGTGAAGCGCCTCTAAGTAGTGCCCACAGCACTCCCTTCAGAGACCTCCAACACAATGCAGGCTTCAAATGTCGCTCATCCAGGGAAAAACTGTTGGGAAAAAAAGAACAGATAACAGTAACCAGCAGATTCGATTGTATTGGGAAAATGCATCAGCATAAAGTTTAGCAAGAATGACTAACTTTAGTGTTAAAGAGCGGAGGTGTGGAATGCATGGCAGATTAGAAAGAAGGCCTTCGTCTTCACCCTCCTCCTCCTCCTCATTCAAATTATTCCTGGGTGGGTCTAATATATTCTTTTGCTGCACTGTAGGCACTGCTAAATTGATTGAAATTTGGAAGTAATTGGCATATCTGGTATTTGCGGTCTGATATGGTTAACTTTAAATTTAGTTCACTGAAGCCTTACAAGCACGTTTACGCAAATGGTGGGCAAATACGAAATATACTAAAGTTAGAAAGGGGTGTGTGTGTGTGTTTAACCTGGCAGCGTATCTGGATAAGAGAGCAGAGGTTGGCATTGACAAGGCTGCAGGCCGATGTGAGGGACAAACAGCTCAGCTGCGGGAGCAGAAGGAGATGCAGGGCAGCACGTGTCAAGAAATTACGCGAGGACAGGATGCACAACAGCTCTTCCAACAACTCGCCAGCTAAAAGAGAAACACACAGATAACACTCACTTATGTACACATGTTCTCAAGGTGTATATTTGCAGAACTCACGTAATGAGCTGAAGGGACCCATGATGTATCTGAAGAAATACTGGTCCATGTATTTTTGGGTATAATCTTTTGCCCACATCTCCTTCATGTTCTCGGCTAGGCTTTGAAGACAAAGGCCAATCAGTGTGGATGGTCCGTCCTCATCCTCAGTCCATTCATTCTTCCTCTGACGTTCTCTCTCCGGTGTGGGCTCAAGTTGCCGGAACAAGGGCATATTTCACCCTGACAGTTACTGACATAGATAAAGACAATGAATTAATTTATCATGACATAAAGCAGACCGGTCATTTGGAGCCACACCTCACCTGTACAGATCTGTGCTCAATGTATAGTTCTTTTAAAAATAGTTTAAGACTTATAAATATAGGAGAAAACCTATTTGAAAATACACGATTGACCAAAATAGTAAATTTTTGTGCTTCTTTGTAAAGACATTACCTTATTTTCAGTCTAAACACAAGTCCATACGTTTGATCGATTCATAAATATATTATTGAGGCTGGAACAACGAGAAATCACTGAATATGCAATGTCACTTACAAATTAACTACTGTAACCTTTGCTCGCTCCAGCAACAGCGTGTATGCATACCGTTTTGTATGAGACTTCAGGGTTATTAGCAGAAAGTAAACAAGTTATATTGGTCTTCTTCTTCTGTGTTTTTTATTGGCAGTTTCAAACGAAGTGCATTACCGCCATCTACTGGACTGAGGTGTAATCTCATTGGGATGTCACATTTTTATAATTTACTGTGTTAAAAAAAAACGAAGTTTCTTTCAGAAAGGTCATGATAGGCTTAATTATAGAATGTGTGCCTGGCAGACTCAATAGGAATTTTTAAAATCATTCCATTATTCGATGCCCTCTCTAGTTCTTTCCTTTTCTCAGAGTATTTTCTACATATCAAGCATTATAATATCACCAACAACAAAACCATAGACTGTATAAAAACAAACCTTCAACATCAGTCTGATGTGCACTGGCAAATCGTTCCACAGGCATGGTGCTGCTACTAAAAAGACACGGTCACCTTTTAACTCCAAATGGGATCATTTGGCACAGTCGGCATCCACCTGTCTGAGGACTTTAAAGCAGCACTATGTAACTTTTGGCGCTCTAGCGATTAATAAACAGAACTGCACACATTCCGCGGAAGAACATTTCAACCGGAGCTACTTCTCTAAGTGTATGTCTATGGCGATTCACGCAGGTATGTGCTACTCCGCAGCGGCGACGACCCGACCAGGCTACAATAGTCCAAATATAAGTACTTATTATAAATGTACCGAAGTGATTAGGAATAAGACAAAAACGCGGTTTGGAAGATGAATTCATGATGTACTCGCTCATTATATACATTTAGCAAATTTTGAACACAGAAAAAGTTACTGCTTTAAGGTTCTAGAACATTTTCTCAACATTGCTTTGTTTAACAACCCAGTTCCCCATGCGCTCATGGATTCTCGGTTAACTGTTCTGAGAATCAAAGTGGGTTTGTTTTCTTCTCCTGATTTTTTCCACACCTGTAACATTCTCAATCAATATTAAAAGACAATAAATACTACATTATGGTGTGCATGTAAAGCCTGCCAATCAACATAGAGCACCACCCTCAGGCTGAAGTACGCGAGGACACTAGACCTCTGTCAAAACTGTTCTGCATGTGTTCTGTCAGTTAAATGTAAAACTTAAACTACCAGCAGATCATATAGTCTACAATATGACCCAGAATCTGCCCCACCTATATTTATTGTCAGGAGCTGCTACTAGTCAAGACAGAGGTTTGTGCATGAAGGCCGTGTGAATGGATTCAGAGAAAGCAGCTGATCATTTTTTCCCTTGCCAAACAGGTGGAACACTTCATTCATGCAGCACGTATTTCAAAATTTTGTGTGGCCAGTGTGACATCACTAATAGAGAAGGTTTAAAAAGCGGACAAGTGTTCGGCAGCTGACCCGAGTCAACATGTTTGCCCTCATCCTAGCATCAGTGCTCATCGCTAGCGGTAAGAAGAAGTCTGCACACCTGAACAGAAGTGCTCAGGAGACTTAGACTTAGAAGCCTGCAACATAACAATTACAGATATTGTTCTATTATATATGCACCTGGTGTAAAGGTTTTATTCTGAATTTCTACTGCAGCCTTTGGGTGTGGAAAACAACCCATTGAGCCTCTCAGCTCTCGTGTGGTCAATGGAGAGGAAGCCAGGCCCCACAGCTGGCCCTGGCAGGTACGTACCGTCGCACCATTTTGTCTGTCTTTATTTCTCATTCCCTCCTGTTACTACCTCTGGTCTCATAACATCTTTGTCATTTCATCTTCTTCCTCTCTTCATTACATTTATGCATTTGGCAAACACTTTTACATACAGCCATTTACATCATTCAAGATTTACATTTCACCAGTTCATGCATTCCATAATAATGTACTTTTTATGTGTCCCATGATTAGATCTCTCTACAGCATCAGAGCGGTAGCTCATGGTATCACACTTGTGGAGGATCTATCATTAGTGTGTGTGGGTTTTACACTCATGGGGGAAATGTTCTGAATGTTGTTATTTACCAATGGACTCCAAGACAAAGGTCAAGCTTTTAACTAAAGATCTGTGCAATCATAAAATGTTCGTTCTCAGGTACATCTTCCGCTAATATTCTTCTCTTTGCCCTTCTTCCTTAATATGTTTTGTAAGATGCTTTAATTTTATTCATTTGTGAATAGTCATTTGAATAGTCATTGGATTTTTTATAACTGCAAACGTGTTACAAATTATAGCTGCTGAAAAATACAAAGCACGCAGGGCACGAGAAAAAACAAACACCTCTTATATTATTGAATCAATATATCAGAGCATTAGCTGGATATTTAGAAATAAATACTCTGGCCTTGATCAAACGTGACAGACTTTATATTTTTTAATATAAGACTTTATATTGTTACAAAAAAAAATTCGACTTCAAATAAACGCTGTCCTTTTGAACTTTCTATTCATCAAAGAATCCTGGAAAAATGCATCACCATTTTTTGAGCACCAAATCAGCATATTTCTGAATGACCATGTGTCACTGAAGACTGGAGTAAAGTTTTAAACTGTAACATTTCACATTATTAGGCCTACCGTTTTACTGTATTTTCAAATCAAATAAATGCAACTTTATGCTTTTGAACTTCTTTCAAAAACATAAAGACAATCTTTCCAACCTGAACAGCCATATGTGTGTGTGTGTGTGTGTGTGATTTTAATATTAATATTATATTTGATAAATCATTCTAGAATTCATTATTTTCATATATATTATCTATCATCATTTTTGTCATATACATTATTATCTGTTTCGTTACATTTAATCTAACATTAAAGTTAGGTCTTAGGGCTCCTAAAAATAGGTCTTACCAACAGTTTGAAGATCTGATTTGCGCTTCTTTACAAAGACATTACCTTATTTTCAGTCTAAACACAAGTTCATATGTTTGTATGGTCCATAAATGTACTGTTGAGGCTGTTGTTGAGAAATCACTGAATTGATTGAAAAGAGTCAAATGCATTTGAAGTAAAGAAAAAAATACAGTTGAAGTGCAAACTACCGCTTCTGTATAGCACGAGCACCACCTAGTGATTTGGAGATCACTCGTTTTGCACTAGTGATTCATCAATTCACAAAAGTAGGAGATAAGCAAGCTATTTGGATCATGCTTGGACACCGTATTTATTTTCTATTCAGTGTTTTTTCGATATTATGTTTTTTTCTCCCCCCCAAAGTATCTCTGCCGATGTCTGTTGCACTTTATTTTGATATTTAAATGATACTGTATACAAAATAAGGGTAGTTGATGCATAAAATGTTATTGTGTAACCTTAACTTGTTGAAACTGGATGGCCCTGCAGCATTAAGTACAAATATTCAATTTCATCTCTCGGCTAATGATAAAATACAGCAAATATAGTTAATCAAAAAACAAGCATGCCAGTTTTTCCATAATATTTAATGTCACTTAGCCATATACAAAATATGTAACATCTAATACAAACAAAATAAAGCTTATTCTAAAGATTACATAGCTGGTTTTACTTTTATGAGTTTATTTTTTATTTTTTTTAGCTCATCTCATTGAAGAGTCCATGAGTGCCATACGGGATGTCCACTGGAACTTCTGCTCGCCCAAGCTCTGTGAACGTCTTGGCATCAAGGACAAGGAGGAAACTGCTCTTTTTCTAAACAAAGTTACACAACATTATCCCACCTGTCAAGACTGAATGGTTAGATTGAACTTTGACCAAATTAAGATTATATATTACTTATATAATATGTACATATGTCATAAAATCAAGCCAGTTGAGCAATGATGACACCATGAACCTCACCTCTCTTGGTGTAATGACCACAGACATGACCACACCATCATCCTCATCCTTAGCATCAGGTGCTGGAACAAACACTGGCTCTGATGGGAACAAACCAGCGTGGCGCCACACCTACAGACAACAAGACAGACCAAACATTATATTCTCAATTAAACTGAACTCTCAAACCGAGAGTTAATTTAAGACGGTACCTTTAGCTTCTTTCCTTCTAAATCCATCTTAAGCAGAGAGTCACCAAATACATGTCCAAAGCCACAGGCGTAGAAGTACCGATAAGGACGAGCATTGTAATACGTGTAGTTAATCTGTGGGAACTCAAGACCACCATACTGCAACAGGTCATCATTGTAGAGATCTTCATGGCTCAGGAACACCTATTATTACCAAAGAGAAATGACTTATTGATATCCATAAATATTTTTTTCCAGGCGCCCTTTTTGTTGCTCACATACCCCAGTTACAGTCTTCACAGCAGTGGCAGTGGTGTACGGCAAATTGATGAGGTTGTGGTCATTAGGCTCATCTTCCATTATGTCCAGAGGCAGTACATATCTCCGTGGTAAGTTTGTACACAATGAATTGAAGAACTGGAAAAGCCAACAGATAAACACTGCATTAAAGTTACATTTTTATGAAACTGAAAGAGAGGTCAGCATTATCGACATTTGACATGCTTTGAACTGTGAAGGTGTTACCTTGTCAAGTTCTTCTCCAGAAGCCTGAAGGTTCTCCATTGTGAAGTCACCAATCACAGTGCCATCATCTCCACAGCACATGTCCATAATCAAATATCCATTATCCTCATATGCATTAATCTGGTGCAGTGTGAACATAGCACTGCTGTAGTATTTTGTCTTGATGAGCTGTGTGGATGAAAACATGGATGTTAGGCATGAAGTGAGAGAAATACAAAGTGCCTAGAAATCAGTATGATAATGTGATTCTGCCTTGCCTGGCCAGTGTGCCTGTCTGCCACATGGAAGATGGTTTCCAGTTCCGGGTTCCAGGACATGACTTTATGAAAGCTCTTTCCAGCAACTCTGTACAACATGAATTTCAGCGGATCTAGTTTGATTGGCTGCTCAATGAAGACTATGTAATTCTCTGACATGACTGCAAATATAAAGTAAAACAGAAATGTTTTTATTATTTTCCATTTGCCTGTTGGTGAAGATTATAATATATTGGACAATCTACATGAACAAATGTGTGGCCCACATTTCCAACCATGTGAAATTCTATATAAATAGATGCAAAGTAGTTCTTATAATATTACAGATCGATAAA